GAGAGAGAGAGAGAGAGAGAGCTGGGCACATACCCGAAAAGCAGAGAGTTGAAACTGGGGGTCTCTAAGATGATCGGTTCCTTCACGATGTGTCATGATGGGGTTTGTCTCCGACAAGTATGTACTCATTTGGCCTCGCAAGTACCCCCATGCGACCTGCCCAAACAAAATAATGTCATCCTAGTCAATGAAAACAATCCACTCCAGATGCTCATTACGAGAGAGGTAGCCCACCTGTCAAACCAAACCAAACAGAACCGAACTGAGCTAAACCGAACCGAAGTATACCAAAGCAGAGTGAGCTAAACCGAACCAAACTGAACATAACCAAACCAGGAAGCTATGGGAAACGAAAACCAACTGCTCGCAACGGAGTTAGCACCCCAACCGTCTCTCCCACAAGTGCACGTGCACAGACAGAAGAAGAAGAAGAAGAAGGGAGAAGGAGAAGGAGAAGGAGAACGGAGTTAGCACCCCAACCGTCTCACTCCCACAAGTGCATGTGCACAGACAGAAGAAGAACAAGAAGAAGGGAGAAGGAGAAGGAGAAGGAGAAGGAGAAGAAGAAGAAGAAGAAGAAGAAGAAGAAGAAGAAGAAGAAGAAGAGAGGAGGAGAAGCACAACATCCACGCCGAACAACAACAACAGCAAAAACAACCAACAACAACAACAACAACAACAACAACAACAACAACGACAACGACAAAGACAACGACAATGACAACGACAAAAACAACAGCACCAGCAGCAACAACAACAACAACAACATCATCATCAGCAGCAGCAGCAGCAGCAACAACAACAACAACAACAAGGACAGCAACAGCCACCACCGCAACAACAACAACAGCACACCATGACATGGTTGAAAAATTGAGAATGCTATTCAAGAGTCCCCAGACAGTGGTTCACGGTAGCTATTCAGCAAAGAGGCATCTTTTGTTCTCATGTGGAGACGGAGCAAGAGAGGCAAGGAGAGGAGAGGAAGTACGTGAAGAGACGCAGATTAGACAGAGAGAGGGGGTTAAGGCAGGCAGCCACAGAGAGCGAGGAGGATATGAAGAGAAAGAATGTGGGGAGAGAGAGAGAGAGAGAGAGAGAGAGAGAGAGAGAGAGAGAGAGAGAGAGA